AGCTATGGAAGAGACTTTTGTGCCGTTTGAAGGAATCAGGAATGATCTTAAAGGAAGATTGATGTGCTATAAGCAAGACTGGACCGGAGGATTCAAGGCTGGATTTAGGTATATACTAAAATATGAATATTCATTTGATTATACCTACCTTTTATATGAATTATGCATTGGTTTAAACGCTTTAATTGTGTAGGATTCTGGCTCCCACCACATACATATTCTTCGCGTCTGCGATTCCTGTTATCTCATTCGGTGAACAATTGGAAAGAAACACTGGTAAAATTGCATCTAAAATTCTTCAATTAAGTTTCAAACTTTATCAAAGATTTTGAGGATTTTGAAAATTGGATTCTGAAATTTTCTTAGATGGAGTTCTCACTGCTGTTCAGACCTTAGCATCTACCGCCATTTGCGGTATGATACACTCGATTATCGGAGGTCAGCCATTGCTTATACTCGGAGTTGCAGAGCCGACTGTAATTATGTATACATTCATGTTTAACTTTGCAAAGGCGAGACCTGAGTTGGGACGAAACTTGTTCTTGGCTTGGTCTGGATGGTAAGTTTTCTTCTTGTGAGTTTTTGATTTGCTTAAAAGAGTGAGTAATCGAAAAACACTGTGAAATTGTTTGAATCTGTGTGTGTAGGGTTTGTGTTTGGACTGCTTTGATGCTGTTTGTGCTAGCTATATGTGGAGCTTGTTCAATCATCAATAGGTTCACTCGTGTAGCTGGGGAATTGTTTGGACTACTTATTGCTATGCTCTTTATGCAGCAAGCCATCAAAGTATGAACTCTTGAGCAACATTCCGGTTTTTTTTTTCCGATAAATGGGTTCTCTTTATCCTCTCTAACGCATATCCTTATTCAGGGGCTTGTTGATGAATTTCGCATTCCTGACCGGGAAAATCAGAAGCTGAAGGAGTTCTTACCTTCCTGGAGGTTTGCTAATGGGATGTTTGCTCTGGTTCTCTCCTTTGGTCTTCTTCTAACTGGACTTAGAAGCAGAAAAGCCAGATCATGGCGGTACGGATCTGGTAAGTAAAACAACATATCTATCTCATGGATTCAGACCAAATACTAAGCTCTCATTGTTTACATCTGACTAGATTCTCGAAGAAACCTACTGACTCGATTTGCTTCTGTTGAGCAGGCTGGCTCAGAAGCTTAATAGCTGACTATGGTGTACCACTCATGGTGCTAGTGTGGACCGGTATCTCCTACATTCCAGCAGGAGACGTTCCAAAAGGAATTCCCCGGCGACTTTTTAGCCCAAACCCTTGGTCCCCTGGCGCTTATTCAAATTGGACCGTAGTAAACGTATGTATTTTTCTTTGATCTCCACGCTTATTTGCGCTTCTACAAACTGAAACATCAAGACTTATAATGTCTAGTGACTTGAAAACTTGCAGGAGATGCTTGACGTTCCAATCGTCTACATAATTGGAGCTTTCATTCCAGCGTCAATGATTGCTGTGCTTTACTACTTTGATCATAGCGTAGCTTCACAGCTTGCGCAGCAGAAAGAATTCAATTTGAGAAAACCATCTTCTTACCACTACGATTTGCTTCTTCTTGGGTTTCTGGTAAGATTTATTCAGAAAAAATGATTTGTCTATCTGAAATTTTATTTTGGGGCTTATGGATTATATAACTCAATTCCACGAATGCAGACTTTAATGTGTGGTCTTCTCGGAATCCCTCCATCAAACGGTGTCATTCCTCAATCTCCAATGCATACCAAGAGCTTAGCGACTCTTAAATATCAGGTAAGATCACTCATCACAGTCTTATTTTTCTGAGGTTTTTTTGAATTTTGATTGACGTTTGCTATCTTTGCAGTTGCTTCGTAACAAATTGGTTGCAACAGCACGAAGAAGCATAAAAACAAATGCGAGTTTGGGGCAACTCTATGAAAATATGCAAGAAGCTTATCATCATATGCAGACACCATTAGTATACCAGCAACCTCAAGTAAGAACATCTTCCGTAAAAACTTTCGATTTTATCAATAGAACACGGAACTGAGAGTTAGTTCTTTCCACTTGCAGGGTTTGAAAGAGCTGAAAGAATCGACAATCCAAGCAACTACATTCACCGGAAACCTCAATGCTCCAGTTGATGAGACTTTATTCGACATCGAGAAAGAGATTGATGATTTGTTACCAGTTGAAGTCAAAGAACAGCGGTTAAGCAACTTTCTTCAGTCGACAATGGTAGGAGCTTGTGTTGCAGCTATGCCTATCCTTAAAATGATCCCTACATCAGTCCTTTGGGGCTACTTTGCCTTCATGGCCATCGAAAGCTTACCCGGAAACCAATTCTGGGAAAGAATCTTACTTCTCTTCACCGCCCCAAGCCGTCGCTTCAAGTAACTAAAGCTCCAATCTTTATATCTCTCACTCAACATTAAAAAAAAAAAAAAACCCTCCCTTTGTACTCATTTCTGCTAACTTTCTATTTGCAGGGTTCTTGAAGATTACCACGCGACATTTGTAGAAACCGTTCCATTCAAGACAATTGCAATGTTCACTATTTTCCAAACAATTTATCTCTTAATCTGCTTTGGCCTCACATGGATTCCAATCGCAGGAGTCATGTTCCCTTTAATGATCATGTTCTTAATCCCCGTTCGACAATACATCCTCCCTAGATTCTTCAAAGGAGCTCATCTTCAAGACTTAGATGCAGCAGAGTATGAAGAAGCTCCAGCTTTACCTTTCAATCTCGCTGCGGTAAACCAAAAAATCCAATTACTCTGTTTCTTTAGCTCCTTATTTTCTTTTTTTTTTTTACACTCGATTTATCGAACAGGAAACGGAGATTGGATCTACAACTTCGTATCCAGGAGATTCAGAGATTCTTGATGAGGTTATTACACGAAGCAGAGGAGAGTTTAGACACACAAGTAGTCCTAAGGTCACAAGTTCGAGCTCGACTCCGGTCAATAATCGGAGTTTGTCTCGAGTGTTTAGTCCACGAGTGAGTGAGATTAGGTTGGGTCAGATGAGTCCTCGAGTCGTCGGAAATAGTCCAAAGCCGGCGAGTTGTGGGAGGAGTCCCTTGAACCAGTCATCTTCGAACTGAGATTATATATATTATATTCAGGAAGCTTAATAAAACAAGG